ACACACACACACACACACACACACACACACACACACACACACACACAGGGTCCTGTTGGGAAAAGAGAATTGGGCAGGGAGAACAAGGGAAGGAAAGGGGGTATCCAATGCCACAGAAATGAAAGTCACTGGAGACTCAGCCAGTACTTACCTCTACCTCCTGGGCTTTCAGAGGACAGTAGGCCACAGAACATGGGGCAGGAAAAAAAAAGAAAAAGAGAAAAATCTAGGAGTGAGGTCCACCCCAGAGAGGGTGATTTATACAATCAAATGGCCACCCCATATTTTATTGGCTAGAGTGCTGAACTTGGAGCCAGGAAGATCCGAGTTCAAATCCAGTCTCAAACAATTACTAGCTGTGTGACCCTGAGTAAATCATCTAACCTCTCTGGGCCTCAGTTCCTTCATTTGTAAGATCGAGGGATCAATGGCCTCTAAGACCCCTTCCAGCTCTAAATCTATGATCCTATAACCCTTAGCTGAAATGGCAGCAGGCCATTTCCCAGAGCTGGGAAAGGTATTATATGCTCCATTCGTCTTTCCCTGCCTCACTTGCATTCACTAAGCTGAAGTGCCCATCAGAGATGTAGCAACAACAGCTCATTACAATAACTCTCTGATTTCAAAGTGGGTAATCGGGCCAAGTAAACAGGAGACTACAGCTAGAAACCAAAGCTATGAGAGTCTAGGGAGGCCTGGGGCTTCAGGGTGGTCGAATAAGCATTCTTAACTCTCTGGCCCGAGAGTAGTAAATTAAGGGACAGATCCTCTCCATCCTTTCATCCTCATCATCAACACCATCTGGGAGTCTTCCCAAAGGGCCCACATGCCCTGGGCAGTAACACTGCCTGGACTGCCCAGGGCAAAAGAAATGGGGGCTTCTAACTCATTGTCTCAGGAACAGTATGGGTAGTCCCCTCCACCCCAGCCCTGTCACTTTCCCCATATCTTTCCACAAGGGTTTTTTTCTGTTTCCTTCAGTTCCTTTGCCTGGAACTAATCCTGCCTGCTAAGGATTTGAGTGGAAGGAAACTGAATTAAGAAAATACAAATGAAACTATTACTGGATTGAGTTCAGACTTTCTTAGCCAAGGTGACTGGAGCAGGTGGCAGAGGACTGTTCCCTTCCTTGATGCTTGGCCTCTGAGCTTCTGTGGCCCAGGTCTATCTAGTCACAAGACCACAGAAGCAAAGAATATCATATCTGGGTGGAGATCTCCTAACCCAACTCCTTCACGTTACAAAGGAGGAAATTTAGACCCAGAGGAGTTAAGGGACCTGCCCATGGTTATATCATCAATGACAAAGCTGAGGCTCAAACCCAAAACCCTTAGCCCAATAGTCTTTCCAATGTAGCATACTACTTCCAAAACAATGGGGGAGGGAAATGAACAACAGAAAATGCACACTAGATAAAGAGACTCTGGAAGACTGCTGTCTGCCCTTGCCCCAGGGGGCTGTCCTGTGTCAGCTGATCCCCCAGCTGTCTGGGGACTGAGTTGCTATCTCCCACACTAGCCCCCTGGCATAAAACTCCAACTCCTTCCACTACCCCTGCCATCACCAGGCCCAGCCTCTGAGAGGACTGAGTCACCCATGGAAAATTGACAAATGGCTCCCAGAGAGACCTCATTGTTGAGACGCATGATTCCCTGACAGGTGGTGGGAGGGCTGCCAGGCAGGGATGCTCTGGGGCCAAAGGCTTGCTGCATTGAGGAGCCAGCTGCCAGCTACAGCCTCTGGGCTAAGATCCAGGAGGGACTGAGAGGAACTGATGCAGCAAGAGCTAAGAGGTTAGGTGGATGTGAGAATTCTCTTTCCTCTTTGCCTCCACCTCCCTCCATCACCTCTACCTATGCATCTGCTTAGTAAGAGAAAATTGGCAAAACTACACTTTAAGTGCCCTAGTTCACAACTAACCAGTCATGGAAATGACTTGAACTAGCTGACTCCTGGATCTCTTCACACATGAGATTCAAGTAGAAGATGATACTTGAACTGAGAAGATTTCAGAAATCATGAGATACTGTGGCAGCAACAAGATAGAGCAACTGCTAGCGTGAGATAATGAAATCTCAGGTCTCACAAAGCAAGAGGACCTTTGAGTGCATTCAAAGGCTCCCATGAAGTCAATAAATGTCAGAATCAGTATAATATAGGAATCCAGAGGGAACATGTACTTACATGGTTCACAAAGAGAAACTGAGTCTAGCAGAAAAACAGTGGAGGACCAGGGCAATGAACAGTCAGCACCATGGCCAGAGCTTCAGAGATTGTGTTATTACTTGCCACATGTATATGTATGCGGGTGCAGTGACAGGGCACAGATGGGTGCATGTGTATAACTGTAGTGGGGGGGCTAGGCACACTCATATATGTCTCTATCAGACAAAAACCAAATTACCAAGAGCAAGAGTGATTTCTATTAAAAAAAGAAAGGCAATAAAATCCATCACTGGGATCCAGCCTCAAGTCACAGCATCAGCTTCTTGTAACTCTCTTGACTGAGCTGATAAAGGATTCTGTTCAGAGGCTTCAATCTCTGAAGACTTGGAACCCACTAAGCCTTATAGCTCTGAGACTCCCCTACTAGGCGGTAGGAGGGATGGGAGTCTAGCCAGCAAGAGAGGAAGGAAACCAGAAGAGAGGCAAGAAGAGGAGACGGTAAAAAGGAAAAAGAGATGAGAAGAGGAAAGAAAAGGTATGGCCTCCTCTTATGCGAGGGTCTCTGTCCTTCTTTCCTCTCATCACTCCTGGGCAGCCTTATACCACATCATCTTCACTCTTGAAAGCAATGAGTATTACAAGGCCTCTTTTGTCTAAGTTTGGAGTAAAGTAGGCACTTGAGGCAGGGCCTGGAAATTAAGTGGAATAGAAATGCATTTATTAAGCACTTACTAGGTACCAGTGATCACTATGCTAAGCACTGAGGATAAAAAATATAAGATCATGAGAGTGCCTACTCTCAAGGAGCTTACATTCTAACTGGGGAGATGACATGTAAATAGGCCAATCTGCACTTACTAAGAAGTTGCCTGGTTACTAGGTACAGAGAAAAGCAAGAAGTCAGTCAATCAGTCAACAAGTATTTATTAAGCTGTGCCAGAAACAGTGTTAGGCAATGAGAATCTAAAGAAAAGCAAAACAAACAGTCCCTGCCCTCAAAGAGCTTAAATTCTAATGAGGAGACACAATATAAACAAATAAGTGTGTACAGAGAGAATGGATGGATGGTAATCTTAAAGGGAAAGGGTCTGGCAATTAGGGTGACTAGGCAAGGCCTAGGTTGGTGACTTGTTAAAAACCAGGGATCACCACTGGAGAGCAGTGATCCCCTGGCTGCCCTTCATTCCCCCAATAATAATAACAACTGACGTTTCTAGAGTGTTTTCAAGTTTGTAAGGTGATATACACACATATTAAATCATTTATGTCTTATCCGTTATCCTACAAGGCTATTATTATCCCCATTTTACAGATGTGGAAACTCTAGTGAAGAGAGGGTGAGTCACTTGCCCAGAGTCATATAGTTCATGTCAGAGGGAGAATTTGAATCCAAATTCTCCTGACTCTAGGCTATCTGGGGTGGGAGTGGGAGACTCCCATAGGGGTGACTTGGGTTCTAAGGAACTAGGTGGTTTCTGCTCTGTACTGTACCCTTCACCCTAGATCAGAGTCACTACAGATAGGGTATAAACAAGGGCACAACATACAGGAAGAGCCATAATATGCATGGAGACTCTTTAACAGAACCATATATTGTTCAAGCTGGAGAAACTCTTAAAGATCATCAGGTCCAGTTTCCATCATTAATTTTTAATACAAATGAACATATTGTTAAGTTTTGTGAGGTCAGAGACTATTCATTTTTGTCTTTGTATCCTTAGCACTACAGAAGGAGCTTCATAAATGTTCCTTGAACTCAACTGAATTGTGGGATATGCAGGTGAACATCTTACTTTAGGAAAGGCTCAAAACTTATGGTGGTGGACAGCGACATACAGGGCATCCTGTTTTCCCAGCTCACCTAGTAAGTGCTTTGTCCCAGCTCTGCTGTGAACTTTCCCTTTCAGGCTCTCCATGGCCATATCCCCAAGTCACCCCCAGATGCCTCAACCTCCAATAGAGACATTAGGGGGAAAAGCCTTCAGAGCTCAGTACAAAGTAAGTTATTGATGGTCAATACTGAACAGCAGGGAGGATGAATTCTCTCAAGAAGTCCTGCCAGGAAATTCAGATGGGAAATTCATGAATGACTGTGAAGGCAGGCAGGTGCATGAGAATAGACTTTTCATCAAAAGCCCCTAGACTATTCCTTCTGCCAAGCGCCAGAGGATAAGAAGAGTCCTCTGACCATCCCAGAAGAGGAGGGAGAGACTGACTCACTCTCAACAATCAATCCACAAATATTTATTTAGAACATATTATTTGTACTTTAAATAAAATATCCTCTCCCCACATCTCATGACCCTGGCTTCTATAACGCTGTGTCATCAGAGCAGATGGAAAAGTTTCAAGTATGGATCCAATGACACATTGTATATCTCTTGCCTCGGGACTAGTCTCACTAAATTTGGAGAAACTCATCACCAGGTTGACAACTCTCAAAGACTATTAACAATAGTACCTATAGAGGGCTTGTCATGTACATGGGTGGAGGGACTACCCACATTGAAGAAATCACAGATTCTTAAGTATAGAAGTATATACTTTTTGTAAGGCATACCCTAGGGAAAGCTGAGATCCAAGGTAAAAATCAGGGGAAGGGCTTAAAGTCTAATTGAAAGGATTTCTGTTTGGCAGTTAGCGGGATAGGGTTGGGCAAGAAGGAAGCTTGACGCTTCCTGAAACCTTCATTTCTGGAAATAATGGGAGAGAGTGGCCCCAGGGAGATGAGTGAAGAATAGATTGATTCTACTTCAGCTTGAGAGATGGGAGAAAAGATGAAAAACACTGGAATCAGAAGTGAGAGTGTAGAATGAGGAGTTGTCACAATGATAGCAAAAGAAAAAACAGCTTCCTGGGGAGGAGAAAATTTCTTTGAAAGGCTGATGGGCCTGCCAGGCTGAGATTAGCTGACAGTGAAGACTGAATTAAGTATAGGACACTAAGGTAGGACGTCAGGCCAGGTTAGGGGGCTAGTCCTCCAATTTATGAGAG